CTTTCCCTAGTAGTAGGATTGCCAACCCTCCTGGACTGGCCAGGAGTCTACTGGAATCGGCATTGATCTCTCAGTAACTATTGAAAGCAATCTGGGAGATTTTAATAAGCTATTTTAAGAAAATGAACTTAATGACATTACATCATATTGGAGAAAAAAAATCTCCCAGAATAGCTCCAGTAAGAGTTGGCAGCTCTACCCAGTAGGACCTATCTAGATAATGGGTCCAAGTACAAGGGAGGAAAGCAAGGACTAGATGCTCAATTCTCCCATTTCCCCATGGGAGTGGGAAGCATTCAATCCACTATATAAATATTCCCTGTATCACTAAACTAGAAAATGCTAGCCTGTGAACATTTCAGCATTAAAGGAAAAGCTGAGGCGTTTAATAATGAATTGATCATGATTTAGTACTTACATGCGATAACTTTGGAATATTTAATCATAGAACACTTGGTAGCTAAAGTTGTCTGATTTGATTCTGAAGTTGTAACTCCCAGTCTTTCGTTGGTATTGGAAAATTAAAATGGCTGCTACTGCCAGCACAAAAACAAACACAGTGATGACAATAAGGATGATGTACCCAACTCCTAGCCCAGGCTCCTTTCTTGTCTTTGAATCAGATGCTACAAATAGAAAAGATAAAAGTTTTTGAATTCTAAAACTTTGTTCCTGATTAAAGAACCCAGCAGAGCAGTAAGATTTTGCATAAAATTTAGGGTGCATCAAGTAGCTGAGCACAGTGGTAAGAGTATAAATACAAAATTAATTAAGTCACTTTGGGAGGGTGATTATCACAAAAACATCTGTGACTTAAAAACCAAGAATACTCCAGCTGGTGTTTAGAAATTTGGCTCTAAACTTTTTTCTGTAAAAATTATGACAAAGCAATGGACGAGATGAATACATAGATTTCTGACATGCTGTCCTATTTTCAGGATAACCAAACAGATACAACTTCCATTGATTTTAGTCCTACTGTCATTATTCCATGAGTAAATTCAATCTTTTTCCCAAATATTTAAACACTTCTCTAAAGACAGGTGTTCAGTCTTCAGTACATATGTGCATTTGTGCACGTGCTCTTAATTTACATATGCTTCTTATCTTTTTAAGTACATGCTTGATGTGCATAAGGAAACAAGGTATTCATCCAAGCACATAGCCAGCAAGGCACCCAACTGGTTATGAGCTTGTGCCAATACCTGATGGACATTCAAGTTACTGACATCTGTATGCAATCAAATATAAACTCTTTGTTAAGGTGTTGTTCTCAACCGCTTATGTGCAGGATACAGAAGCCATGTGATTTTTCCAAGACAGATGTAATGCAATAATGCTTAATGTATTTACTGCTTATCTGTGAATCCAAAAGTCAAAGCCATGGAATTGAAGTGAAGATATACTATGCACATGGCAATCCCTGGATTCCTTAGCACTGCCAATATTAGGCGCAGGTAGAACATATATCTATAGGCACATGTAGATGTTCCCAGGACTCAATCTATATCATGCAACTTAAAGCTTGGTCACCTGTTTGCTGGTGCCAGAAGCCAGACCAGGAACATGATCTAAGTAATTAGGGTGATGGTGAGATTGGGGATGGGCTAGTGGGTCTGTAGGGAGTGTTGACAGGATCAGGAAGGGGCTGGTAGTCATGAGGGCACTGTTCATCCAGGGCTGGAGATGGTCAGGGGGGCTAAATATAGTCCAATCAGAGTGGGGAGGGTAGGAAAAGTGCAGTCCCAGGGCTAGGGTGAATGGCTGGGCTTTCCCAGCCCTGGGGCTGTGCCCTTAACGTGTATACATGTTCAGTAGATTGAGCTACCATACCCAAGCTAACTTAATGCACTTCCTCAAGTGAATTGAGTTAAATCAGGCTGGCTATATTTTGTCCAATCTAACTTCCCTGAATGTGTCAGCACTTGGATCAACCTAACCCTCGTTAGATTGATATACACGTAATGTCTGCATGTACCCTAGATCTACACTTAGCAGTACCACTTGCTACAGTACATGGCAAGCAGAGTAACATCACTGTACAACCTGAACAGCAAAGGTTCATAACATTTAACTATACCTGCTCCCCTGCTGTCACACATTTAGGCTTACCTTTCCTTTATGTTTAGAGTTAGACATTAAAATCTTAAAATTAATCTCACACTTAAAATTATAAACATGTCTGGGCAGGGATGTGAGGTAGCAGCAGAGTGGAAAGTAGTATCTAATATTTTCAATTTGGATACTAGCATAGGCACCAATTTCATGGGTGCGCCAATGCTCAAGCACCTGCAAAAAAAAATTAGCGGGTGCTCACCCACAAGCCATGTTGGGCAAGCCGGGTTGAAGTAACATGCTGCCTCTTCTGGGCATGCATGGGGCTCAGCACAGGAACCAAAAAAAAGCACCCACTAGCATAAACCAAAGTCAGCATCTATGGATACCAAAACTATTTTTTTTAATACAAGTAGTAGCACACAGTATGATCATCTGTCCATAAATTTAGTGTCCATCATTTATTAGCAGTATGCAACATTGGTGACAGTATTTCCAAATACAAATGCAAGAAAGATTTGGTAAATATTATACACAATTGTATGTACTGGACTTAATTGCCATATGTAAAAAACAAAATTAAAACAAAATAAAATGCAAAAAATAAACTTTTAAAACAAAACAAAATGATGGCAGCAACCAACTATGAATTTCAGGCAACAATGGCACTTAAAAAGAATGCTTAGAGATAAATTCAGATGGGAAGTGCAGATTTCCTGGCACTAACTCTTCCCTAGATTACCCTATTCCTAGGCCACCGCTACTGAAAAGGAGACTATGTTGGTGCTAAGTACATGGCAAGGCACCAAGTCAAAAATCAACCCATGCCTAGCAGCCCATTGGGCTAGTGTAGTAAAGGCATGCCAGCTTTGATAGCAAATGGCATGCAAGGAAGGGAGGTAATTTGCCTTACATCCAGCCATCTTTGATTTCTAAGCCACTTTGACCAGGTACAGTTAGGGTGACTGGGAGCAGCCTGTGGTGTAAATTCTGAATGGGGCTTAAACTCATACCTCAGAAGCCACAATGAGACACCAAAAGTGTTCTGTCCTACCTCCAATGCATGAAAAGAAGGCGTAGACTAGACTCTATTCCAATTCCAACTTATTCCAGTCCTCCAACATTTTGGTATTACATTATTATGATGTAAGGGAGAAAAAGTTTGTATATGTTAGGTCAGTGGTTCTCAATCTTTTTTAGACTGGAGGGGCGTGTCTACATGAGACACTTCACTGCACAGTGGGCTAATCTAATAACAGTAAAGCATCACTGCCTACACATGTGCACCATTTACCATGCAGTAAATTAGTCTACTGCCCAGTTAGCTACTACCTGTAAATGCAGGTAGTAAACTAACTGCCCAGTAGATACTGTGCAGCGCATGTGTCGATGCTAACCAAAAGCAAATTTGCTCCTGGTCATCCCCAACACCAGGGGGGGACAGAGAACAGGGAACTCCCTCAGTCCTGGTGCTCCTCAGCTACTGGCTCCCCCCCAGGAGCCAGGAGCTATGCAGTGTCAGGACAGGGTAGCTCTTTGTCCCCCAACAATAGCCAGGAGGCAAGTAGCACTGGGACTGGGGAGCTTTCTATTCCTCAGGTGTTGGCTGGGAGCTGTCCCACTTCTGGGGCAGCTCCCAGCCAGTCTTCAGCTGGGTGGGGAAATCCTCAAGCAGCCAGAGGTTGGCCTGGAGCTACCCCAGAAGCAGGATGGCTCCCAGCCATATCTCAGCTGATCAAGGATTTCCCTGCCCACCCAGGGGCTGGTTGGGAGCTTCCCCAGAAGCAAGACATCTCCCAGCCAGCCCCGACCTGCACAAGGAAGCTCTGCTATGCGTGGGACTTGTCCCTATGTGCATGGAGCCTGGACAGTTCTGCAGCAGCAGCTGTCTCCCAGACCCCTGCATATCAGGACCCCTCCCAATGTATATAGGGCCAGGAGACAGCTATTTCTGAAGGTGACACAGCTCTCCTGGCCCTGTGCACATCGGAATTGGCCTCCGTGCTTCCTGCCAGTGCCTGGGCTAGTACCCCAGGGGAGCCTGGAGCTTCTCCTGGCTGCTGTAGGAAGCCAGAGCAGAGTAGGAGCAGCCCTGTACCGGGCTGCTCCTGTTAGGAGCAGATTTGCTCCCAACAGGAAGCACATGTAGATCTCCCAGGGAAAGCTTACTGTGCAGTATTTTACTGCACATTAGGCTTTTATAGCATTAATAGCATGTGTAGACACACCTGAGGCACCCCTTTTTAGACTTGAGGCACTCCTCAGAAATTGCCAGCTCTTAGTGGTTATTCATTTTTTTTGACTGCAGAAAAATAGAGCAATTCTTCTGTTGCAAAGATCTTGGAAAGTCCATAACAGATCCAAATACTTTTGACAATACAGATTCCTATTTGGAATTTCTGGGTTAATCTTGTGAATCATGTTTGTATACTTAAAGTGTTAAGATTGCATAGCACCCCACAGCACTCTAGTTGAAGATCTTTGTGTTAGGGAGCCTAGGGGAGTGTATCAGACTTATATTATATCACCTCATATCATCTTTGATTTTGGTCTTCAGAGCTTAATGGGCTGCGCTCTAAAAAAACAGGGCTAGTTTGCCAGGACACTATACAAAAAAAAATACTGATTGTGATACTTAATACTAGGGAGGCTCAGGACAGTATAATTCAAACTACCTATTTGTCTGTGTAAATAATTCCAGTTGATTCCCAGCACATATAATTGCAAAGAACATTTTCTTTTTTTTTTCTTCCCCTCCAATTGTTGACAATCATTGTATCTCAATCAGCACAGATTTTATTGTAAAATATCAGCAATATCTCAATCAACAATCATGCTTCTCAGATATATAGTATGGGTATCTCCCTAACAGAGAAGGCTTTGAGGCTCACCCATCAGTAAAACAGAATCTTAAAAAAGTTAAATAATTAGTCTTAACTTTTTGCAACCATCTATAACTTACCAGCAGCTTTGCACAGGGGTCCCCAGGAAGTTCTGTGCGTGGCAATAATTTCGCCTGTTTTCAGGGATCGATCACCATTGCAGGTCTGTAAAAATCCCCCAAAGATCTATGTTTAATCACAGATGTTATACCTTATGCCTTTTAATGACCACCTTAAAGAATTAAGAATTTATCTGGCCATCAAATCCCAGATACTGCCTTCAATCTCTCTCAACAATAACCTTTGGCCTTTAAAAAGAAGCTAAAAAGAGAAGATCAGAGAGAATGGCACTAGCAAGATATGTTGTGGTTTGCCAGTCACAACATTGGAACCTCCATAAATGGGACTTTGGAACAAATAAGTAGCCCAGTGGTACCCTAGAGATGCCTAAAAAAGAAAGCCCAGAAACCATGTTTTTAGTATTTTCTGTACAGTGTAGTAATATGCTAGCTAGCTTTCTCCTTGTCTCTTAGGACATGGGAAAAAGGAATTATGAGTTGCAGAATGTTTCCTCAACAACACTGCTCATTATTATTATATAGGTTGCAATATACTACACATAACAGTTTTCATCAATATCAGTGCTCCTATAAAAGACTGTGCCATTCCTGAAGAGTTTACAGACTAATCTGAGACAAGCTTTAATGTGTAAATGCAATATGCAAAACAAAGAATACAAAGGTAAGCCCAAAGGGTAGCTTGACTACATCAGAAAGTTTCACTTGTTATACTGATATACCAAAAGGAGAACTTAAACTAATAAATGTATAACTCCCTATATAGATACCTGTTTTAGTCTAAGAGTGATTTTTTTCCTCTCATTTGCCCTAAGTGCCTTCCAAAACAGAACAAACTAAAGTCAGTAATGTCACTATGATACTGGAATAAGAATATTCACCTGAGGAATTACACCAGTATAAATGTGTCAGCTTAAATTCACATTGTAACTTATATCAGTATAATTTTCCCATGAGGACAAACTCTAATACATATTTAGGTAGAGAGTTATTACACACTCTGTTGGATGTTTAGCTCCAGTTTCTAATCATATAATAATACTATATTATAATGTAGCGGGCTTGCCAACAGCAGCCTGATTTGCCAGCTCGGAAGCGCTCCAAGCTATTGGTGGGGCATTCCCACCAATCAGGTGATGGCAGGGGAGGCCTGCCCCGCCCCTACCCAGGGGCAAGGTGAAGAGCCAGACCTGAAAGGGGCCTAACCCCTTCTCTCTCTGATTCCATTTGCAATCTGGGGGCATAGCCCCTAAGGGAATAAAAAGGCAGCATGCCAGGCACACAAGTGGCTGCAATGAGGAACAGAGAAGAGGGTGAAGAAGAGCTGGCAGAGCTGGCCAGTGGGGCAAAGCTGTTGCCTCTGAAGAGCCCAGAAGAAAATTGTCGAATGGGGAGGGGAAAGCGGCAACATCCCCCAGCCCTGCCGCGAGGGAGTGTGGAGAGCAGTGCACGGAGGGTCCAAGAGGGACCAAATCCCTGGAAGCTGCACAAGGCAGCTCAGGTCTCCAACCCCTGGCATGAGGCCAGACATTTGGTGCGTAGCTGGTGCATGGAGGGTCCAAGAGGGACTGAGGCCCTGGGAGCTGCATGAGGCAGCTTGGGTCTCTAACCCCTGGCACGAGACCGGGCAGTCAGTGCGCAGCCAGTGCGCAGAGGGTCCAGGAGCAGACTGGGATCCAGGAGCTGCTCGAGGCAGCTCGGGTCTCTAATCCCCGGCACAAGGCTGGGAACACGGTGCACAGGTGGTGCACAGAGGACCTGGGGACGGACCAAGACCCCAGTACTGCACAAGGTGGCTCAGATCTCCAACCCCTGGCACAAGGCCGGACACATGGCAGAGAAGAGTCATCGGTGCACAGGACAATGCACAGGGCCTAGAGAGGGCCCAGGCCAGAGGGAGTCATGGGCAGCTGAGGACTTCCCTGCTGAGGGAGGAAACGCTTTGCCCGGGGCAACCAGCGCAGCTTCATTGGTCCCAGAAAGTTGTGAGTTGCCCCGGGAAGAAGGATTCTCACAAGGGAGAAGGGATTCCACCCCATCAGTTGGGGCTAGCAGCCGGAGGGAAAGCCCCAAAGGGAAAGGGCTCCCAGGGGTCTTGAGGGTTTCCTTTCGTGGGCTATTCAAGCTGGGTAGCAGGGAGCCTGAAGGGCCCTGAGGATCTTTTGCCTCTCCTTATCTTTGGGGCATTGCCACTGCCCCAGGACAACAAGGGCTGTTCTTCTGTTCCTTTTAGAGATGTAGCTTTTTCATCTGATGTTTCTGTGTCTCATATTTTGTGAACCCTGCGTCTCATATTTTGTGAATTTGCACCTCATGCTTTGTAGGTTAGTATTTCACTAGAGCATAAGGTTGCATGATGTTTACTGAGACCTTTGCTTCCCAGATCCCTCACCTGCATCCAGAGTATATATATTGCACATAGTTTCCATGTTTTTAATATATGTTCCATTTTTAACTCTTCCTATGTATTAATAAATTTGTATATAGTTAAAGTCCTAAGACGTATCCTGGCTTTACTCTATAGGGGAAGGAGGAAACTGCATGTAGTGGGGAGTTTCACCCCACAATGCACTTGCCCTGCTAACATTCCCTTCAACTGGAGAGGGGAGTACATAATTGGGTACTATCCAGGCTACAATAACATTAATGTTATATACATGGCTCTGTCCTACTTTCTTCCAAAAACAGAATTTTGAATCTTAGCCATTTCCTATTATGAGAGGTTTTTTTCACCTACATTTTTCCATTCCAGAGCTGAGCGAGTCCAAGACTCCCATACCAAGAAAATGAGGAATGACAAGATTGAGAGAAAAAAAGAATGTATTCTAAACCTCTGAGCTAAGGTCAGGTCTTAAATGTGAAGGTATTTCCTGAGACAGAAGACACATCAGAAGGAAGAGGAGGAGGAGCATTCAGTTTTACAGTGGGTTACCTAATTCAGGTAGGGCTGGATGTCATTTTCAAGCCAGGCCAAATAAGGAGTAGTGAAGAAACACAGCAAAAATCAAACTGGGACTCAGAACTGCAGTTCAATCCTTCCTTTCTCCACAGGTTCTGAAACCTTTTCCTGACACAACTTGATTTCCCAACTTTTTCAGTGAGAGGGGTGGATCAGCACCAAGGCTTCAGTCCTTCCCTACCCACTGTATGAAAGGAATTAGCAACCTTGAATTTATTTAGACTTCAGTAAAGCCTTTGTTTCTTTTTCCCACATCATTCTCTCAAACAAACTGGAGGGTACTGGGCTGAACCAGTCTACAGTGAGGTGGGTGGACAACTGGCTCAGAGGCTGCTCCCAGAGAGTTGTAATCAATGGGATGGCCTCATCCTGGAGGGCCGTCTCCAGTTGTGTCCCCCAGGGATCAGTGCTTGGACCCATGCTCTTTAAGATATTTATTAATTACTTGGATGATGGGGTGGAAAGCTCAATGATTAAGTTTGCAGATGATACCAAGCTGAGGGGAAATGCGGGCACATCAGCAGATAAGGTAAAGATCCAGAGCGACGTTGACAGACTGGATTCATGGGCAGAATGGAATCAGATGAGATTTAATAGGGAGAACAGCAGGGTTCTTCACCTAGGTAGGAAGAACCCTCACCATAACTAAACAATGGGTGGTGGTCCACTGGCTGGCACAGCATCTGAGAAAGACCTGGGGGTTGTGATTGACCAGAAGATGAACATGAGCGATGAGGTTGCCAGCAGGGTAAATAGAACTCTGGCCTGCATCAGCCAATGTGTGGCCAATAGATCCAGGGAGGTGCTCTTCCCCATCTGTTCAGCATTGGTGAGGCCGCAGCTGGAGTACTGTGCCCAGTTCTGGGCACCGCACATCAAGAAGAATGTGGATAAGCTTGACAGGGTACAAAGAAGGGCCACCCGTATGATTAAGGGCATGGAGGATAGGCCCTATGGGAAGAGACTCTGGGAACTGGGCCTGTTCAGTCTGAGTAAGAGAAGATCTGATAGCTGCCTACAAGTACACCAGAGGTAAGCATCAAGATGTAGAGGAGCAACTCTTCAGGAAGGCACCTCAAGGCAGGACGAGGACCAACAGGCATAAGCTAAAAGAGGGTAAATTCAGGCTGGACATAAGAAAAAACTTTTTATCTGTAAGGGTCACCAGAATCTGGAACACACTCCCAGCAGAGGTGATGCAGTCCCCGTCCTTGGAGGTGTTCAAGATGAGGCTGGACAAGCACCTTGTTGAGCTCATCTGAGACCAATACCTTCCTGCCCTTGGCAGGGGACCAGACCTGATGATCTTACAGGTCCCTTCCAGTTCTATGATTCTAACCTAACAGCACCAGTTCTCCCTCTCTGCACAGGTCTGGTAACATGTGGGCCTGCAGCCAGGCCCATAAATCAATCAACTGTACAATAAACCAGTTTAACCTAGTAAATCAGTTCAACCTAGGCATCCAAGGCCCAGTCCTGCTTCTCTCCGATTTTCCCACCATTTTTTTGGTGACCCTTAACACTCTTACTTTGGCATTCTGAGGGGTTCTGTGTACCCTGCATCCTTTTTTGACATACCCAATAGTTTCCAAATGCCCCTCACTCCCCTGCTCTGACTGTCTTGATGGTTTCCTTTTCCCATCTTCCTGTGTTTTCTACAAAGTTCTCATCACTCCACCATCCTCTCCTAATCCTGCACAAGGCCATTTTGAAATTAAATTCATAATATGCACCAAATTAACAGTATTTGCATAAGACCAGGGTTGTCAACTGGGGGTACACATACCCCTGGGGGTACTTGGACCGGTCCTAGGGCAGGCAGGGACGGAGTGCCACTGCCTCCCAGGAGCAGGACCACAGCAGGGTAAGGGCAGCGGTGCCCCTCTGCAGGGTGGGAAAGCTTACACATGATGGCCACCGCCACCACACACCAGCCTGGTAAGCTTCCCTGCCCCGCAGAGGAACACCGCTGCCCTCACCCCGCCCAGTGAGCTTCCCTGCCCTCACCCTACCCTGGCCCTGCTCCTGGGAGGTGGTGGCACTCCGTCCCGCCCGCCCACAAGCCACCCCTGCTTCCCTGCTCCATATCTGCCTGCACGCTACCCCCCCTCAGTGTTCAGCTGTGTGCTACCCCTCCCTCCACTCAGCGTTCGGCCATGTGCTACCCCATGCCCTGCTCAGCATTCAACCACGTGCTACCTGCCCTCCCTGCTCGGTGTCTGGCCACTGGGGGTACTTAGACTAAAAAAGGTTGAAACCCCTGGCATAAGAGATAAACTTTCATTAATATGAGGCAATGCATTTTCCATTCTTGTTCCATATCCTACAAGAAAGATGGCGTAGAAAAAGCTTCTCACCTCCCTTGCTGTAAACCAGGAGTCTTTCTGATTAAGTCCATGAAAATAGGCCATCATGAAACCACTCTAATTGAGATCAGCAGCAATTAATGTATTTAGTCTTGTAATGTAAGTGTAATGTGTGTAACAGCAGGTGGAACCAGGGAGCAGTCTGCAGAGCTGTGCTGACTGTTAATTTGGACTGCAACTCCCAGAAACATTCAGGGGAAGAGGAAGCTTGAGGCTGGAGTAAGGACAAGAAAGAGCAGCCTGCATGTGGAACCTGATCAGCCCTACACAGAGAAGCGTGCAGTGGAGCTGAAGATCTCACTGGCTCAGTCAGTCAGGACTGTGGACTGAAGGAGCTGGACTCAGATTTGGGGGCAGCTGCAGGCTGCTGTTTGAGCACTTTAGGAACTAAAGCCTTGTTTGGGGACACTTCCAGTGGTGTGTGGCAGAAATTGAGGTGCTGAGTGTATGCAGGGTTCGAATTAAACTCCAACTCATGGGGGTTTCTGTGACGGTGGCAGCCAGAAGGAGCTGCTGCCACCACCACCCGAGCTACTTAAAAAGGTGCCGGGTGGGATGGGGGCTCTTGTCTCTTATGCAGGGCTCTCATCTCTTATAGGAGGCTCAGACCCCACCTCCACCCCCCCCAAACCCTCCCCCCTCCATATTTTGAACCCTTAGTGTATTTTATAACAGTGTTGATGTTTCTTTATCTTTTACCTGTTCTCTCCCTTTGGTCCCTTTGGCTTGTGACCCTAACCCCTATGATTTTCTGTATAAAAGTGGGAACTCCCCCTTGCTTCATGTACCAGTTTCTGGAGCTGCTGGGTTGGCACAGTCTTCCCCTGGCCCATCTAATAAAAGATGTTAAGATAATAACAAATACAATATTGATCTCTGTGGCTCCTCCTAGTCTTTTCCTCAGATCTGTTCACTGCTCTTTACCCTTTGTGTGTAGTTCTTCAGCCAGTTTTCATGTTCACACTACTTTGGACTAAATAGGCAAGTAATACTTTGTAAAATATTATATCAAACACTTCAACACACCACGATGTACGTTACATCTACTGCAGATCCTCTCTCAACAAAACCTGTGGTTGTAGCAAAAAACAAGACAATGAATTTCCCCAAAAAATAAACCCTCCAAAAATTGGAGTTCAGTCTTAAGTGGGGAAGCTGATTTTTTTCGCCTGGAATAGAAGCACAAAAATGTAAAATGACTGCTGCTTTTTTCCTTTTCTCTACCCAGCGGCCACGTGGAGGGAAGGGGAAAGTCCAGGCTTTGGCAGTAGCTATAGTTTTAACCTTTTCACAAATGAACTGAAGCAGAGACAGCCTAATCTTCATCTCATTTACGCATCCTCACAGCCAATTCAACTATGAAAGAGTTAAAACTAGCTTTTGCCTGAGCAGGAAAGGGAAGGTGACTGAGCTAAATGCAGCAGAAATTCTGGAAAAATCGTTTTCTTCATTCTGCCTTCTCCAAACCAAGGTGCATGTCTTATTTAGGGTCATGTGGGATGGTACTAGATTATTACCATGGTACCAAATTAACATGGTAATCTAGTCCATGGTACTACAACTTTGTCCTGTAGGAGATTGAGATATCACCTATTACATAAAAACAGGATATCACAGATTCTAGGAAGTAAGATCATTTATTTAAACACTTAGTCCATCAGTAGGTTTGTGCATGAGTCTGCCCTGCAATGCTCCCTACATTTCCTCCCAACTGGGCTTTGTCCAGATTGTGTACCTTGTATTACCTTTTCTTTACAAAAGGGGAGAAGTAGCAAAGATGTTGCTGGGCTGAGACTTTGGCAACCTACTCCATGTTTACACATCATCCCTGCCAAGCCCAGAACGGCAATCCAGTCACTCCCTCTCCACCCATAACCAAACCTAGCAATTAGAGAGCACATCTGAATTAGATGACCCTGGCCACACACTCCAGCCTCACCTCTGTGGGCTATCACTTGGGCATACGTTCAGGACCACTAAATCAAATACATTGGCTCTAAACCAGGCTTGAGTGAGGGCAGCACAAGAGCAACTAGGCAGGGTTCATTTCCTCAGCAGTAGTCCTGAGAAGCAGAGAAGCAGCATAGACATGATCATATATTCTGTTCCTTGCTCTGCTACTAGCTAACTGCGTGAGCTTGGGAGAATCCCTGCCCCTCTTTGCCCCGCAGTTTTTCCCTCTGTAAAATGGAGCTAATGATACTTACCCACCTTTTAAAACACTATGGCCCAATCCAGATGTACAGGCACATGCGGAGCAAATGGAGTTCACATAAGGAATACCTCTTACTACTGAAAGGTTGATGTTAGTTTGCCACAAGCCAGTCAAGTTAATTTTGACAAATGAATGTGTGTTTAGGGAAGAAGTGAACTCTAACCCTATTACCTTTTCTTCTTTGTTTAATTTTGTCAAATAGAAACTAAAGTTATAGTCAAGTAAATTGTCAAGCCCTATAAACCATGGTGTTACTTTAAATATTCAATCTTACATAAATAATTAGCTGTCAGACCTAGTGCCCTCCTTTTTTTTTTTCAATTGAATGTCTAACTCCTCTTTTCTGTTTTCTCTGGGGAGAATTTTGTAACTTGAGACAGGAACAGATTTTCATCTCATATGCCCTACTAGGAGGTATCATTTGCTTTGTATTGAGGCAAAATTGAATGATATATGGCTAGAGAAAATTCTTACATAAGGGATCAAAGAGCCAATGAAAATAATTTTGGCAAAAGAAAAGGAAAAGATCCTTATACATTCAGTAAAAAGAGAAAGCCAGCAGAGAGTCCCTATTCTTGTTTTCCATGAGCAACAAATTATAAAGGTGGAATAGTATATGGTATATGCCTGGAACTACATAGAAACTATGGTCTTTTTTTATTACACTCAGAAGACAAAGGTTGACACAGATTATGTCATCAACATATTGCTCATTATTATCTTATTTTAAAGTAATTATTAAAAGGTGCTGGATTGACGGTACTAGAAACCTAGCTCCATGGAACTAGATAGTTACCATGCAAGCTTCCTCACACAGTGCCAAAGCCATGATGTGTAGAAACAGTGCTTAGGGAAAAATATGGACTGTTATTCTGTTCTTGAATTTTCTGCCATTACTGTGAGTAAAGGTGCTAGTTGACCATTTTTGTGGTGTAGATGCAGTGAGGAGCAGTATTGAGACTACCTGCTCTTTTTGCAAGAGTAATCAGATGATAGGTTTCTTTCAGTCATTGAAGATCAGTAACCACCAATTTGAGAGTAAAAGGCTAAGCCACCCAGCTCCCAACCTTTCATACCACTTTTTAAGTTCCATACTTGAACTAGGCAATGGAAAACAGAAAGAGGGGAAGATGGGGGCTTACATATGACTGTATTGTTTCTCTACCTCTCACTGCTTCCAGTTGAAAAAAGAAAGGCAATGTAGAAGTAAGGATGAGGACGCCAATACTTTTGGAAGCATATTTTCCAGCTGGAGTAGTATATAGGACATAGTCACATAGAAAAAGTTTAAAGGAGCAAACCCCTTACCGTCCTGCAGGTGCTTTCAGGAGTCTCTACACAAATGCGAATTCTGCAGTGGAGATAAACCACAGAATTGTTGACAAAGGAAAAGATCTTCAGTTTAAACTGAGCTTTGCTTGAGTTCCCATTCTCAATGAGAGATGTGTAAGTATTTGGGACTGGGCAGCTGAAACACAGGAACAGGAACACACACAAAATAACTAAGAGCTATTAGTGTTATATACCCTGGCAACAGTACTTTGTAATTCAGCTTTTAAGCTGTTTTTGAATATCGATAGCTAGATATTCTATATAGTATTCTCTATCATGGACAGTGGTAACAAGATGATGGTTGTAGACTTATCCCCTGAACAGTACCACTGGACAATAGCACTGGGCCATCTAAACAGAACAGGAAATTCAAAGACAAGCATTAGTGGGGTACTGCAGTATCAGTATTTGTGAGGCGGCAGGGGAGGGAAGGAGGCGGGGGGGAAGGAAACCAAATTTAATCCTGAGCTTACAAAAGGTAGAAAGCAAATGGAGTTCACATATGGAATACCTTTTACTGCTGAACGGTTGATGTTAGTTTGCCACAGGCTAGTCAAGTTCATTTTGTCAAATGAATCTGTGGTTCTAATGACCAAAGCTGCCTCCATCACATCAGGGATCAAAACCAACACCTAAAAAATGTCTCCTTTACAAATACTAAGGGAAGGCCCCAACCTCACCAAGATCCCTTTTAAACTGTCTGAGGTATTTATTTTGAAAAGAAGAATGATTCTTGGATGGCAGATAAAAAAGAGAACTTAAAAGAAAATGTATAAATAGCCATCTTAACTTACACGGAATGGTCTTCAAGCTAAAAGGTAATACTGCTAGAAAGCTGGCACATCACTTCCAGCTGCAGAATATGCTATACCTGTTGTTAATAAAAGCAAATGACAGAGGATCCACTGAATTATTGGATGGAGTTGCCCAGCATTCAGTGAGGACCACCTTGAGCTTGCTTCCCTCTTTATGAATTCCTACTTCAATCAGTATGTCATCACTGGCTGAAATGCTGAAATTTTTGGGTATTGGAGAGTTTCCAACGAACAGCTGCATTTCAGTAATAAAGCGTCCAGATCCATGTAAATCCTCAAAAATGGTGTAAACCCTGCAAAGACAATTTTAAAGATCATAGATTCAATAGTATGTTTCTATAGGTGAGAAATATAAAGCTTGGTTTTCTGGCATCCATGAACCACCAGAGTGAGGAAGAAATCAGCTAGCCAACATGATGCTAGGATTTTCAGGAGAGGGTCGGTCCAGGTTACATTGGCAGACCTAAGGGAAGTATGGAAAAGAGTAGTGGAGATGAGAGTAGGAAGCTACAGAGGGTGAAGTGTACTGGCAGTGTAAGGAGAGAACACCAAGGGAAGAGGATTGCACCTTACTTCAAGGCTCAGAACCAGGAGAGCTAAAGCTTGATGCAGAAGACAAGAGGAAGCCAATGAAGGGATTCAAAGAGAGAGTGACCTGTTCAGAATGACAAGAGAAGGACACAACTGTTTGGACATGCTGCAGGAGAGTGATGGAGAGGAGGGAGGTGATGGTCCAGTAACCAAGGCCCAGATAGGATCTCTGTTATAGGGATAAGGAGGAAGGGCCAAGGTTTGCAAATGCACTAGAACAGCATTTCCCAAACTTTGATACCTGAGGTGCATGGTCTTCTGAATCAAGATTGGTGGCACACATCACTCATACACCCAAAAAGGGGTGGGGGGAGGGAGGGAAGGGAGCGTTTTAAATAGATCTAAGTTCAGAAAAGATATGGAGGGGTGCTTTGAGTCTAAAAATGTTGAGAATCACTGATTCACTTAAGAGCAGAGGGGGCAGGGCCTCACCTTCTTGTACCCTGCTTCTTCCACTGTCTGCCCTCCCTTCTCCCCTAGTCTGTAACTCAGGGGGCAAGGGTAACCCCTGCTGCTAAAGCTGCTCCTACAGGGTCTCACATGCCAGTGATCACCTCTGTAGCCCTTCTTGCTACCTCGCCTCCATCACTTATTGTAATGTCCCTAGAGTACAGCTTAGAACATAGCATTTCTTTCCCCCCACAGCTACACAGTTCTACCCATTAGCATCTGAAGTCAAAGAAAGGTTTTATTTACCATTCTGGAGTGTATCCAGATGAAGTCAAGAGGTCATTTTGAAATACACAATGAATAGGGCTCACAATCTTCAAGTGGTGGATAACTCCCTGCAAGGAAATATCATTCCGAAGTATTGTTTTCACTGAGGTGTTAGTCAGATTCTGAAAAATAAGAAGGAACCAGGGACAATTTATGAACCTTAATGTTTCTGAGAACACCATAGTCCCCCTGGTGAACTATTTCTGGTAACCATAAGCAATATCTTAGGAATTCTGTATGCTCCTCGCCATGAAAACCAAACATGTCAGCATCTATTACCTCTGTCATTTCAGGACTAGAAAATACTCTTCTCAACTGAACAAACCTGCTCTTCTCAATTAAGCCAGAATGGTCACTGTTCCATGAAAATACTCAGCATTTATGACTCATGTTCTGTGAGTGTGGCATATGAGATACATATGATGCCATACCCTTTTCCACAAAAGGTTCTTACTCCTCAGTGTCTACTATCTAGTACAGCATTGCTTGGGATATTTATTTAGATATTACAGTAAAAAATATTTTGAAAAAAGGCAGAGGTTATGAAAATCAAGAGAAGACCACCACTAGGGGCTTTTGTAACCCAAGGTGGCATGGGAAGCAGGTCAGAATTCTGGATGCATTGGAGGCAACAACATCTCCCTTCCATTTACTTCCCACCTAGGTTTAAGGATCACTTTTCACTGTACAAGAAGAGCTGAGTTCTTGGTTCATCAGAGCAGGAATCTCTGACAAGAACTAACTGCCCCACTGCACACCGTAGTCCAGTATCTCCTACTACCTTCAGTAGGGACACAGAAGTATTGGACCTGGATGTTTCTTCATATTCACCCACTCAGATGACTTACACTTTGTACTTCAGCTCCACATTCGTTCCACCCTGTCTGCAGTACAACAGAGGTGTCATTGCTGAAGCTCACATTGCAATGAGGTTCCCCAAGGTAAAGCGAAGATTCTGGGATAGATTCTTGCTGCAGAAATTTCTTCTGAATTGCAATGACAATCTTCTCAATTTCACAGAATACCTTCACAGCATCTTTTATAGAAAGCCTCTGGGCAGAGGCAATGAATGGGAGAGGGGTGACTGGTGGAGAATGGTAGACATTTGACATAGAGTCTAAGGAGGCCTGAGGTACTGCAGAGCTAGAGAACATAGCGTGTTCCAGAACTTTGGGTTTAGTAGCAAAGGAATCTTCTGCAGCAAGTGAAGATACATGTGCCCAAGGCAGTGAACGTGCCACAGGAAAAACTGTGCTGCCTGCAGGATTGTCATCTGTAGCTGCAGGACTACTACTGGGAGGAAATGCTGTAGAGGAATAAAAAGATTTAATCCAATTTGTAGACCCTAACTCATTTCTTAAGGACTTCCTTTTATTTTGAGTTTTTTTAAGAAGGAAACTCAGTTATTGGCTAAAAAGTAGATTTCTTTCTTAACTGATCACTTGCAGGTACTGCACAATGGAGCTTTCTCTTGATTAAAAATGACAGGAAAAAACTCAATGTCTCTAGAAATGCAATAACTGATTCACTCACAATGTGTATTCAGCTTCCATAAGTCTTTTGGAATCCAGAATTTAAAAACTGCTCAGCTCTCATTTAGGCACAAAAATGAGTGGTCAGATTTTGCTGCACAAACCTTCACAATAAGAGCCGCTGGCTGCTGAGCAATTTGGGAAGTCTGGTCCTCATAAGGGTGCCTAAGTTGCACCAAAGCTCTTTAGAAAATCTGGTTCTACTTGTTAGTGCCAGACATTTGGGCTAAGTGCAGACAGTCAAAAAGCCCAAAGCAGAATCAATTCAATTTTTGCAGGTTAGCCTAAGTTGCATAGATTTAACCGATAAGCAAGTGAACAAAAATTCACCTTTGATTTGGAAAATGCAGCCATATACCTGCGGTGTCTCAGGCCAGATGCTGGAGGGTGCCAGAGCACACCTCTCTGCTCACCTGGAGCAGACAGTTTGGGTCAAAGCTAGCCCACCCACCCTGCCAGGTAGGGTTTGCAGGGGAGGTGCAAAGCATCCTGGGATAGTGGGGGACTGTGAGTTAACTTGAATCTGTAGGGGATCTGGGACAGAAGTAAACCAATTTAACATAAATCAGTTAAGTCTGATAATATTTCCATCCAGGTTTATCTTAAACTGGTTTTGGCAATTTTGAAACGCACTAAACTTCTGTTGTGTTACAGATTTGAACTGGTTTCCACTCACTGATACCAGTTTATGTGAAATGTATGTCTCTAGACTTAAATATCTGTCCTTGACCACTTGGGAAAAATCTGGAGTGCAGCATGGTACAGGTACAGAAGATGTGTATTACAAATACATATCATAAAATAATAGAAATGTAGGGGTGAAAAGGACCTCAAGAGGTCATTTAGTAGAACCCCCAGCTCAAAACAGGATTGTCCTGACTATATCAGCTCAATCAAGTGTCCATCTAACCTGATCTTAAAAACACCCAAGGATAGAGATTCCACAGCCTCTCTGGATAGCCTGTTCCAATGCTTAACTACACTGTCATTCATAAGAGGATAAATGTAAACAGATTTAGCGAGAAGAATAACAAATGGGGGGTTTCTCTGGCAGGGGGAGGAAGGGGAGAGAATTGAGGGGAGTAATATGCATATGGGCACTAAACACCAAACTCCTCCTTCTAATCCTTCTTCCTACCTAGTCAGTTAACCTGTATTTTTTTTTAACAAGACCTACAATACCTGTCTTCATCCATCATTGACAGTGGCAACGTAAATGGCCTACACCCACATAACTAATAGTGGGTGCAGTTGGGGTCATATAGATTCTATTATGCAACATTTTACTGAATTATACACATAAATAGCATCTATCCTGCAATTTACATTGGAAAAAGAACCTCTTAGGAAACCATTCATATCTTTCAAGAATATCCCTAATTGAAAAATTCCTGATTTGATGCCAGGAAAAAAAAGAAAAGAAAAGGAGCAGAAACTATTTCAGAAACATGTTTCCCAAATCTTTACTATTATAGTGTTAAAGTTTCTTGATTTACTGGCATCAAACCAAGACCAGTATATATTTACAAGCCTTGTGACCTCAGTCAATACCTGTAATTTATCACTATGGCTACAAAAACAAATACAAACCACAAAAAATGTGGTCAAAGGATCTGTGAAATCAAACCACCTATTTTAGCTAAACAGTAAATTATTTGAGAAAACCTGGAGAAAACTGGATGAAATTAGTATAGACAAACAAATCATTAATAACTTTAGTATTTAATGTGACTAAAACTGCCTGCTCTCTGATTTATAGTTTCTTTTCTTTTGCCTCTGCTGCTCCCTCTGTTAATGCTTGTGAAAATAACTAGTGCTTGTAATAGTTCTGTTAACTTGTCAGGGCAAAAATAAGAAAAAAATCATTGTTAAAAAAATAATGAGAATGGCCTGACCCCATCAAATGCTCATACTCTTGCAATGAAAAAAGCATGTTGAAAATCTACTGAGTATAATAATAGAAATACTAATACAAACACTAAAGATACACCAAAATACACTTTTTTTCTAATCAGATATGTTTTCACACACTGAGGGCATATCTACATATGAATTTATGCACCCTAAATTTAATGCGCCTTAGCTTAAGGTGCATTAAGGTGATTTAGGTGCACGTCTACACGTGGACACCTTAAGTTGCCTTAATGCAGCTCACTGGGCAGTCTGCTCTGGTCAGCACCCTAGACAGTGCAGGCTTCTGAGGGATCCTGAATCCCAGGCGAGCAATGAGGTGTCCTGGCTCTGTAGGGCTGCACTACCTGGCCAGCAAACCTGCCCTAAGGGAAAGGCACAGGGGAGCCACTAGCAAAGGCTGTGCCCACACTGTACTGCCCCCTTCCCCTGCAGGGAGTCATGGAGAGTCCTGTCCCTGGTGCTTTGACAGGCATCCTCCCACCGCTGCTCCCTCTGCTGACTTACTGCACATTGACAGGGACTGCTGCTGCCAGACCACTACAGCACAGGACCTCTCAGCCTGCTCAGTCACATAGCATTAAGGTGCCTTACAGCATCTATGTGTGGGTTAAGATGCCTTAACTAATCACGCCTATATTTGATACTTGCTTCATGCAGGGATTAAATTCAGATGCAAGTAGCCTAAAATCACCATTTTTAAGGTGCATTAAGGGTGCATACGTGTAGACCCATGCCTCTTAGTGCCCCTTAAAAATGGCTAATGCACCTTAAATCACCACATGTAGATGCGCCCTGAGTCACATTTATCCTACACATAACTCCATGGCCTGAGGTGGAGACTCATTGCAGATGGATGTGACCAAATGATTTTACAAAGACGAGATCATTAGAACATCAACAAAGTCAGGAGGGAATAGAAATTATTGCCTTTGCAGCTTCTTCCGGGCCTGTCTGAATTTAGATCAATAAATCCTTCATTACAGCTGCATTGGTAGGACCCATATATGTTATGGCATGATGCCTCCGCTGAACAGTCATCTTCTTCTCTCTTGCATTCATTGTAATCTGTTTTTTAAGTGGGGAGGGAAAAAAAAGAGAATTTGTGACTGAAGTCCTGATTATTCACAAACTGGAACTTCCTTCATGGTGTCACTGTGAAACCAGTTCTTGTTGGTAGCATCATGTCACTATTATGCTTGTTCCCTACTGTACTGCTATTAACAGGAGTCTAATACAGCAAAAATACTTATATCACTGCCTAGAGGAATGCCATCAACAAGAGCCTCCCTCTGTACTGCTGATGAGAAATTCTATGACACTCACCCCAGTGATTTTTTCATTTTTCCCTGAAAAATGACAGCTGTTACTCCCCCTGCCCCACCCCAGCCCCAAGTATTCCTATAAGGAAGGAAATGTTTAATACACTGGCTGAAAAGCTGGAAAGGAAAAAAAAATGTGAAAATTTTCATCTGAATTCTCATTTTTAGTCAAAATGTATAATTTCAAAGAAAAAAATGGTTGAAGTTTCTGGGATTTTTGCAAGTTCAGATGGAAGCATTGATGCAGGTTGGTTTCCAACTTCCTCCTATTACTTGCTGCTATAACTAATATGACGCACCAACCTATAACACTTGTAGCATCAGCCTCTAGCACTTGCAGCACAAATAGTCCTTGTTACCTTGCAACAAACCCCTACTATTCATTAGTACAGTTTGCAGGGGACAAATACATCCTTGTAGGTGCTGAAAGCCTACCATGATAACAGTCATCATCTTCTTATTATGTGGCACACGGCTGTGGTGATGATGGTGGTGGTAGTAGAGGAAGTACACCACCATGTGGTAAGTCACTGGCACAGCACAAATTTCTTATGCAAATCAGGCTCTGTTCCATAAACGGATCATGTACTTGGGTGCTTTATTCACAAAAGATTTAAATTGAGCGCTCACAGCTTAAATCAGAAGGCAAAAAACCAAAGTGAACTCTTCTAAACTTCCAGGGTCAAATTTCAGAATCCTCAATGCACTGACAAGTGTTTTGCCCTACAAGAAGTCACTTAAATGTGACAGACTATAGCCCTTAAAATACAATGCCTTGCTGAATAGCGCAGCAGAGGACACAGTTATAAAGGACACATCAGGGCAGACAGTTTTCAAAATCTTTCAGAATATACAGCTGGAGATCTGGCAGACAAGGAAAATGCACTGAATTCAATGCACATATTTCAATAAAGCTCTCATGTATCCTCCCTGAGATTCTAATTGAGAGGTTAGAACTGTATCTTTTGAATCAGCATAGTGAAACAGAGGAATACCAAATACAGTGATGGTTTAAATTTTTTTTTTTCCAGAAATACATCAATCTGTGAAGTAGGATTCAGAAGCAGTTAAGAAATGAGTATTACTGATCAGTCTCAAACGTGATCTGTAAAGAAGAAATTGTATAGTAGCCATTTATGATTATACCAAACTGATGGTCTTCATCTGAGCTTTACAAGTGAGCAGTAGGCAATATTAATTGATAGTGTAACGGACACAATTATTGCCTAGATAATTAATGTGTTGGGGTTTTTATGGTTTTGCACCTGGGCTGGGGGAAACCAGTATACTGTAAAGGGAAATACTGCATTTTAGGTTGGGTTTAGGATAAGGGGAGCAGTTGTGTTTATCCTTGCATCACATTTCTTGCTTTATCTTTTCATGTTCTCTGAAAAAGTTCATTGGATGAATTGGCAGAAGTACTTAGGGGAAAATAATGGCTTTTCATCTGTCACTTTTTACAGTTTCTCTGTTCCAAAAATCACAAACTAAAGATACTCTTTATCATTTTGCCAGCTTTGAAAAATTACAGTGATATAAATTGCACCTTACCATGTATGGAGACACTGTTGTTGTCAGCTGTGAAATAAGAACTGTGTTGAAAGGCATCACGGAAAGCTGTGGCAATGTACTGGATGTCCAGATCTTCTGCTATCACTAAACTGAAACCTACCACGATGCTCCCATTAGTAATACTGGTAATGGACATTTTAATCATACCATCATCCATTTGCTGAATAAGGTTAAGGGGCATAGATTTATATACCTGTGATCAAAACATAAATGCACATGAATATAGACAGAATTAATAAAATTTCATTCAGCAATATTAGGTATTACAAGAATGCTTCATGCTCAAAACCCATTTTCTGCAGTCTCTAACTACTAAGCTTTCCTGATACAGCTGAGACTCAATATGCATTTAACTGTGGACATAAAACAAGGGAATGATTTCATTCATTTCATTTATTCAGACAGGGATGGCATAGACATTGGCAGAGGCTCCTTGTAATACCAAAGTCTGCCTAGGAAGCAGGTTATATTAGTGCAAATTAGCTTCAACATTCCCTCCCTGAAGATGGCTTCAGGGAAACGGTGCAGCCCAATGCGGAGGTGCTGACCAGGAGCCAGTCTGACCAGTGGGATGCTCAGGGTTTGGCATCTCCACAGAAATCTCAGTCAGGGAGACCCTATGGAGCCTCAGCCACTTCTTACAGCTGCTCATGCAGCATAAACCTCCACTCAGTGAAGGGAATTCAAAGTGGGAATTCAAATGTATTCAAAGTGGTAAAGACTAAAATGGACTGCAAGGCACCATAGAAAGATCTGGCACCATTGAGTGAATGGTCAACCAAATGACAGATCAAATTCAATTGAAATAAGTGTAAAGTGATGCACCTGGGCAAAAATAACCCAAACTACACCTACATTACGATGGGCTCTACATTAGCTGTCACCACACAGGAAAAAGATATGGGAATCATTGTGGACAGTTCACTAAAAACTTCAGCTCAGTGCTCAGCAGCCATAAAAATGGCAAACAAAATGTTAGAGATTATTACAGGAATTGTAAACAAAACAGAAAGTACCATTATGCCCCTTTCTAAATTCACTGTGTCCACACCTTGAATACTGTGCCCAATTTTGGAACCACACCTCAAAAAAGATATAGAAGAGCTAGACAAGATACAGAGTGGGGCAACAGAAATGACTAGTGGTACAGAGGGGCTTTTGTATGAGAAAAGACTAAATAGTTCAGTTTAGAAAAGAGATACTCGAGGGGGGACATAATAAGCGTTTACAAAATACTAAATGGTGAAGAGAAAGCAAATGGGGATTTATTATTTACTGGGTGCATGTACATGGGTGCTTTGTTGCACCAGTATTAGGGCACAGTAAGTTAACTCCACCACAGGATAGTACTGTCAGGGACATTACTATCTTATGGTGGAGTAATTTATTCCTCTGAAACACACGTGTAGATGGTGAAAGGGCTGGCTGGGGCACAAGGTTGCTAAAGTGATGGGGCTGACTGTCATGTAGCCCTGCACTGTAGCACCCTCATGACCCAGCCAGCCCCTCCACCACCAGATGCAACCACCCGAAGCCTGGGGCTGATTCTCCCCCACCCCATGGCCTCACCCTCCCCTGCATGCCTTGACTCAAAAGTGCTGCAATCCCAGGTACATGAACAGTTTTCTCCAGCATAAGCTGCACTGGAGTTTATCATGTCACATTAATTGCACGTATAGAGGTATTCACTGTCTCTTATTATACAAGAACCAGAGGTGATAAAATGAAATTAGTAGGCAGTAAGTTTCAAACTAACAAAAGGACGTTCTTTTTCACAAAGCATGTAATTACAGTGTGGATCTCCTTGCCACCAGATGCTGTGGAAGCTGACCATTTAGCCAGATTCAAAAAGGGATTGGACAAATTCTTGGAAGAAAGGGGCATCAATAGCTATTGAGCATGGGAGTTAGGGGTGCAACTTCTGAATTAGAACATCCTAGATCCTGGAGGCTGCAAGTGGGAGAGGAACAGTGGAAAAAACCCTTATTATACCCACTTCATTCTCCCTTTCAGCATCTACTCTCTACCACTGTGTGACACAGGATACTGAGCAAGATGGACCTATGACCTGACCCAATAAATGACAGTTCTCACATTCTAATAGCAGAACCAAGCACTCCATGCCCTCCCTCACAGGGAACAAGGCTGGTGCATGCATCACCAAAAATAAACTAGGCCTTCATTTATACCCAAATGTCAGGCCACAGAGGAAAGAGAAAGGGAGATTTTCATGCTCTCAGCACTGCCACATGATGACAACCTCCCCAAGGTCTGAGTCCTCTACTTCAAGCCTATCTCATAAATGTTTCATTCAAGTCTTCTCTAAGGAGTCTTACATTATCACTACAAGTTATAACAGACCCTTGGACACATGTCACATGTCCCAGACCTCCACAGTCCCCTGAGAGCCAACAGCCAGATCCTATTCCACCTATTGGGCACCTAAGTGAAATTAGGTTAAGTATGAACCTGTTCCACCCTGCTTAAATCTCTTGAGTTTATGAAACAATGCATGGGTCATTCTCCTCCTTGCTGCTTTTTGTGACAGCTGTAAAACCAAGAGCATGGTGTGCTACCAAAGGAGACAAACTTCCCCAAGTCCCTGAAACATTTTTTCAGGGACTTCAGCAATCCAGGCTGACCTTGACAGGCTCAAGAAATGGGCAGCCGAGAACCTGATGGCATTTAACACCGAAAAATGGAAGGTTCTCCACCTTGGAAAGAAAAACCTGCAGCATCCTTATAGGCTCGGCAGTGCTACACTGGCTAGCACTACAGATGAAAGGGACTTGGGGGTCATGATTGATCACAAGATGAACATGAGCCTTCAATGTGATGCTGTGGCTAGTAAAGCAAGCAAAACTCTGGCTTGCATCCATAGATGCTTCTCAAGCAAATCCCAGGACATCATTCTCCCCTTGTACTCGGCCTTAGTGAGGCTGCAGCTGGAGAACTGCATCCAGTTTTGGGCTCCACAATTCAAAAAGGATGTGGAGAAGCTTGAGAGAGTCCAGCGGAGAGCCACGTGCATGATCAGAGGTCAGGAAAACAGACCTTATGAAGAGAGGCTGAGAGCTATGGGACTCTTTAGCCTGGAAAAGCGCAGGCTCAGGGCTGATCTGGTGGCCACCTATAAGTTTATCAGGGATGCTTATCAGGATCTGGGGGAACACCTGTTCACCAGAGCGCCCCAAGGGATGACAAGATCGAATGGTCACAAACTCCTCTGTGACCATTTCAGGCTGGACATAAGGAAGAACTTCTTTACTGTACGAGACCCCAGGGTTTGGAATAGACTGCTGCCAAAGGTGGTTCAAGCACCTACTTTGAATGCTTTCAAGAGACATTTGGATGTCCATCTTTCTGGGATCCTTTGACCCCAGCTGACTTCCTGCTCTTTAGGCAGGGGGCTGGACTCAATGATCTTCTGAGGTCCCTTCCAACCCTAATGTCTATGAATCTATGAATAGCATCAAAATTAGGCACCTTATAGATGGAATAGGATCTAGCTTCCAGTGGCTAGGCCAGAAAATAACCCTACATTAACTGGAGAAATTAACAGCCTCCAGTTAGCCTCAAAGCACTATACAATTTATGACCTCTGGAATTGGGCAAATAACTCATTAAAAACAGACATTTAAGCCAGGTACAGACATTATACTTTTATTGGTACAAGTGATCAGAAACTAGTCTATACCCATAAGAGAACAGAAGTTCAGCACACACAGACTGGTTTAAAAATAGTGGAACCCGGTCTAAGATATGCCCCTCACCACCAAAAGGTGAATGTATATTCTGTTTGCTATCTATCTAAACTATGCCACTTACAGAAACTGCATAACTTAGACCAATTCTGCCTCCGGCTTTTTTGAATGTCTGTATCTAGCCTTAGGGCAGAATCCTATTTAATTTCAAGTGCCCAGATGGTGCTTGCTTAATTTAATGATTGCCATTTTGGCATTTTTCAGTTTATGATTCTATTCCACATACAGTGCAGATCCACGTAGTTCCTGAGTATGTACAATATCCTGTGCTCTAGCTGGGCAGGTACATGGCTCTGTACATGCCCGCCTGAGCAAGCATAAGTCTCAAAATTGTAGCTGGGCAAAACCCCATGACTAGATGGTGTTATCCACTCCCCTCTTTGGCCCCTCCTCTTGAGGCTCAGACACTGCACCTTGCATTTAATATTAATTGAATGGAAGGTAGGAAGGAGGTTTCTTTCACATTGGGAGTAAGAGTCCAAGCAAAAACTGAGGACCTCTCTTAAGGAAGCTGCCATCTGTCTTCCTCCTAGTCCTACATCTCTCTCTCAGGTGCCAGGTAGCTCAGCTTCAAAAGAAGGGCTGAAGAAGGGACTGGACAATGCCTAATTTGTGGTCTGGTGGTTAGTAGGCAGGAAGTGTATGTTCAAACTCCCTGTGATTGAAAGGAACCTAGAACCTCAGTCTCCCACTTCCTGGGCAAATTCCTCTAAGCACTAACCTACTGAGAAACCATAGGACCTATTGTCATCCTCCTCTAGCAGCACTAGCCATGGGTTTTTGTTAAGAACCACACACAGCTCCACCATCCAGGCCAGTCACAGTTCTTTTCTTGCTCCCCACTTGCCTCTGGTCAAGGAAGTCATTGTCAGCAATCCCTCACAGTTGAGGTTGATCACTCCCATGGGTCAAGTTAAGGGTTGTAGATGAGTCCATTGATGGCTAAGAAGATTGCCACAGACTCTCTGGAAGATGCCACAAGTGGAGGTAGGTTAAAGGGAGGGTCAGATTGCAAGTTTCTCAGTCTTGTTTCCTTTCTTTTTATTTCTGTCATTTTTCTGCCTCCAGGGCGAGATGGTTTTCCTCAAAGTAAGGTGTACCTTCTCTCACAAGGCATCACGATGTAAACCTGTCCCAGGCTAGTTTTTCCCAATATAATAGAACTTTTGTTTGAGTCCCAATGTTGTGCTTATAGAACATACAGTGATACAGCCTTCTGAAGGCAGAGCTGGCACATCAGATCCTAAACTGCATTTCCTTATTGATGCTGGCCTTTTTTGAGAGATGGCTACCAAGGTATGAAAAGTGTTCAACCTTCTCCAACTCCTGTCCATCAATGAAGATCTTTATTGGGGGCGATAACTGGCCTGAAGCAGGCTAATAAAGCACCTTTGTTTTTCCAATGTTAAGGGTCAGTCCCAGGCATGCT